CTCCCTTCATTTACCTTTCTCGAAATAGATATTACCCTAATCGACCCCAACTCGGTGTTCTCCCATCCCTCAATACCCACCCACCACCCTTCTTCTCTGATCTTTCTATTTAAATTTCCCAATTTTTGTTTTCTTCATTTAAGATTTCCATCCGTCGTCAATTTACGTGCAACAAAACGACGAACTTTCACAAAATCTTACTCGTTTCTCAATGAAACATTTATTATCTGTCTGGAGGCCACCTGCTTCCACTTTCGGTGAATCGAAATTCTCAAGTTGCTACTTTTTCCTTCTTCAAAACTTATTGAAAAAGAGAAAAAGAAAATAGAAAAAAGGAAAAGAAAGAGCACGAGAGAGAGACAGAGAGACAGAGAGAGAGAGAGAGTGAGAGAGTGAGAGAGAATTTCGTAATAACTCTGATATTGCGTTTCCGACAACGTTGACTTATATCACTGACAATAGCACACAGTGATCAATCGTTATACATAGTCATACGATACGAATCAATGAAAAGCGAATATTGATTTACAATTCAACTATGTTTCTTATATTACAATAAATGTTAAACGAAACAAAAATTTGTGTTAATAATATTAACATTGTATATATGGGCCGTTTATTTTGAAAGTAGTGTAAGTCCATTTTCTGTTGTTTTAAGAAAATTAAAGGTTTGCATATTGGTTAATTTAAAAAAATTCATTAATTATATTAAGTTTGACAATGTTTCTATTAATTTATCGATATGTAATTTGATTATAGACTAATTTAACTAAAATAATGTATATTTACAGGCTGCAAATGGACTTACACCACTTTCAAAATTAGTCAATTGTACAAAACGTTTAATTTCAGTTTTGAAAAATCAAATATCACTTCAAATATCCAATTTTGTTTACAAATAATAAGAAGAAATAAAGTAGAAGTATTATTTTTTATTTTGAACGTTAATTATATTGATAAATTTAACATTATTAGTAGTATTTATTTATGCTCTTCATGTGGCAGTGTTTTTAAATATTTATGATGCACAGGAAGTATACAGTGTAATAACTGCTTGATATTCTTATATTTTTCGTAAGAAATAGGCATAGCATATTCCTGTAGTGTATGCAGGAAATTCTTTTTTATATTATTTTTTTCTTTTTTGAAGTTATACTTCTTTTGGCGCGTTTTGGAAAGTGAAATTAGATGCGACCGAAAAATCGACACCACGAAGTTGTCGATATTTACGATGCGCGGGCAAAGCGATTTCAAATTTACGGCATGAAGTAATTCGTAAATAAATAAATTAGATTGTACATATTAATTAAAACCTTTATCAATGGTATTTAATATCTTCATTTTATTTTATCATATTATCGTTTTTTTAACAAATGTAGAGTATTATATTTGTATGCGAGATAATGGAAGTTATTTTTGAGGTTATTGAGGTTATGTTTGTTTTGGTACGCTAAAGAAGTATAACTTCTTACGTGCGGTCATAAGTACACACACCAGTTTTTTTTTTCTATGGAAATTGAACTTACACCACTTTCATAATCAATGGTTACGCAATTTCTTTTACCGGCCAATTTTAAATTGGATAAATCATTGACATTTTTTAAGAAATTAAATATTAACTAGTTATAAATAGAAAATTTACACTAAATTAAGTATAAATTACGTGATATCTCATTTTTTTTTTTAAATGGATTTACACCACTTTCTAAATAAACTGTTCATATATTGCTATTAACATATTAATAATAAATATAAAAATAAAATGTTCGAATTAACACACGAGTTCATGTGTTATAACAAATCACTCGACTAACTATAGTAAGAGTAAACTAGATAAAATATAATTTATAATTACGTTGGGTACTGTTCAAAAGGATTCATTATTTATTTCTTTTTAACGTTCCTTCTCCAACGATGTCCAGATGAGAGTAGAAATAATAATAATAATAATAATAACGAAATGATGACGAGCACGGTAAAGTGAGTATCCGTCTGTGATTCTTGAAAGTTTCAACACCGTCGAGCACAACGAATAAAATCTCTTTTTCACGATCTTCATTTTCTCAGCCTCGATTACTTTGACACAAATTACATTTTTAATGTATATTATATTTCATATATGTATTTACTCTTCTTATTCTTCTTCTCTCTCTTTTTCCTTTACTTTTTGAAGGATGCTTTATGGTTGTCTCGAAAGATAAAGGAAACTCACTGTTGTGATACACTTCGAACTTCCAGTTTGTCCTTGAGGGTATGCGGTTACTCCCTTAAGGGGGTATTCTGGTCTAGAGGCATGAATTTGAAGTACTTTTTCAAGTGCAATAAGAAAAAGACAAACAATATTTTTACTATCCATTTTTTTTACAAGATATTTACTAATATTTAAAGAATATATTTAAAAAAAATAAAAAATAGAAGTAGAAAAATTAAAAATTGAAAAAGATATAGGCTTATGGGAAGTAGGGGATCTCAAAAAAATGGCGGGCGAAGTTTGTCATGATTGTTGTAACCCTCCTAGTAATCTGAAATGAAAACATAATAAAGGTAATTAATCTAGAATAACGCTGCTATTTTACTAATTATAAATAAGATGAGAAAAAAATTTTTTTCGCTAAATTGCAACTGCCTGAAAAAATGATAAATTTTTGTACTATTTTTTGTTGACTTTTAGGAATTTTTGAAAAATAGTAAAAATTGCAAATTTGTGTTAAACTATAATTAGTACGATAGATAAATGTGTAGAGAAGACTCACGCCAAATTTCAAGTAAATCAGTTCAGTAGAACTTCAGAAATCATGACAAGAATTAAAAGAAAAATAGTTTCGAGAAAAAGTGTCATAAAGTGATATTTTATACTTATATTTATTCAATCTGCCATTCCTGCTTCATACTTTCATGGACAATACCTTCAAGCTTCATGGAACCTTCCTCGACTTCGAAAAAAACATTTTCCGTGTTTCTCTTCTCCGTAACTATTTTTAATAATCACTTCTTCATCATTTGACTTACTCAATTTTGCTGCTGATGCACTCGTAAAACTACTTTCTTACTTTGTCGGGAATCTATTGCCGTAGAATCATCTTTTTCTTTGAAGGAAGTACTTCAGATTGCGAAGTACTTCCCTTTTTAGGTTTTCGAACCATTTTACTCTTTGAAAAATTCAAATTATAACTGAAAATATTTTAATTTCATTCAGAAGACACATGCGTCCACGTGGTTTGAAGGTTAGAATTCAACTGTTAGCAACTGGATCTAACTGAACACTAAATATAAAAGATAATTTCAAAGTACATTATATAAAGTAAATTTCGGTTATTGTATTTCAACATATATATTAGGATACAAAAGATTTTACAGAGGAACACGATTCGTTCCGATCGAGCTGATTTGGATGACGCGTCACTAAAACAATTTGAATTTTAAGAAATCCTCCTAAAGACATATTCTTAAAAGGTTATACTTTGAAAATATGAAACAAAAAAAAATTGATTTTTTTAT